TGTCTGTATGCTGTACATGCGCCTGTGTGTTGCGTGTTCAGCTATATGTTGTGTGGTGAGTCTCTATGCTATACGGTTGTGTGGCTGCTGCGGGATGCGTCTGTTTTGTGCTTGTATGGTATGTGTGCCCTTTGTATGCTGTGTGTCTGGGATGTGTGTCTCTGTGTGGGGTATGTGTGTCTGTGTTGTGATGCTGTGTGCATGTGTTACAAGTGCGTTCTCCGTGTGTCCCTGGGTGATGTGTTTGACATGTTCTATGTGTGTGGGGGTTGTGTTGCTGTGTGCAGGTGTGCTGCATGCCTGCGTGTGTGAGCATGGGAGGCATTTCTGAGGCACGGACTCTGAGGGTGGACTGCGTGTGCTGCCCTGACAGGCACTCCCACTCCCCAACCTCCCCACCTACAACCTCGCTGCCTCCAAGCCTTCTGGGGTTCACTCTAGACTGTTACCCCCACACGCCCGCCTGCTCCCATCAGCTGCCACCAGAGGAAGCTTCGAAGCCCTGGCACCCTCTTTGGCTCTCCGGCATCCAGTGTGACCTCTCCTTAGCACACCCATCCCATGGTCTTAATCCCCCCACCCCCGGCCTTCCTTGGGCTCTCCTTCCTCCAAAGCCGCCGTGCTGGGTCCCGGAGCCTGGAGACCCAGCCCTCCGCCGGAGCCCTCCCTCCCCGGGCCCAGTTCTCGCTCTCAGCGCAGCAGCAAACAGTTCGATATGTTGCCTCAGCATGAGCTTTATATCAGAGAGAACAGACTGTTCTACAGGCCAGGCATCTTCCAGGAGCAAACGGCCTTATCCTTCTCTCTGGGAAGCTGAGGGTTTGAACTGCCGACCTTGCAGTCAGCAGTCCAATGCTTTCCCGACAGCACCACCCGAGCTCCTACAACTCAGCAGTTCCCTTCCTGCTTCTCATCTGTTCCCGTGAGAACGGAGAGCAGGAGCCCAGGCAGAGACCAAGCCACGAGTGGTCACGGCAGCACAGCCCACGGTGACCAGGCACCAGGAGCAACGGACAGACACAATGGGGCCGTGCACACCGGGACTGCAGACGCCTGTTACTCAGCCCTTGCTGCGAGGCGGAGGAGCCTGGGAAGCATGCCGAGAAGGCAGACGCAGAGGCTGCACAGTCCCGTTTCTAGGAACCACCTGGAACCGGCAAATGCCAAATGGAGACCAGAGTGGCTGCCGGGGGTGGTGGGGCGGGTGACCATTAGTGGGCAGTGAACTGTGCTGGGCTCTCTGCACCCATCTATTTGGTGCTTTGGGAGGAGGGCATTGGCTGGTCCTGTCACTTGGTTGACAAGGAAGGCGACATCTCCCCTCAGAGACTCTTCCGTCTGATGAAATGGCGTTTGGGAGCCCCAAGATCAGAGCGCTTAGGGGCCTGCTCAAAGGCCACGCAGCAAGACGGGCTGGCATGCTTCCCTCCCAACCCCAGGCGCGTTTTCAGGGTGAGGGTTTGGGGCCTGGGTGAGGGGAGACCCGGTGCCCCCGTTTAACAGGGAGATGGAAGGTAGCAGGTCCCTTCAACTGGACTCCGGGAGGCTTCTGGCTAGGGGGCAGCTGGAGGGGACTCAGTGAGTAGCTTAGGCTGCATGCAGGGAGGAGGGAGCAGGGCTTGCTCTCGCTAGTCTCCGGGTTTCAGATTCTCCAGGTGTGAGGTGGAGAAAAGATTGAAGTTGTCCTTTCCTCTAGCTCAGGGGTCCTCAAACTACGGACCCCGCGGGCCACATGCGGCCCCCTGAGGACATTTATCTGGCCCACCAGGTGTTTTTGCCCCATTTGTTTTACTTCAAAATAAAATATGAGCAGCGTGCATAGGAATTTGTTCATAGTATTTTTTTAAACTATAGTCCAGCCCTCCAACGGGTCTCAGGGACAGTGAACCGGCCCCGTTTAAAAAGTTTGAGGAGCCCCTGCTCTAGTTCTTTAATGCTTTCCCCCCGCCCCCAACTATCATGACTTCAATTCTACCTTACAAATCAGGTAAGCCCAGAGCATGCACACTGCTATAGATAAGAGCCAGAAACACAGGGAATCCAGGCTAGACACACCCCTCAGGGCCAACAAGGAGAATATAGATACCAGGAAGATAAGGGGAAGGTGGGGGGAGAAAGGATGAATCCATCACAAGCATCAACCTATAACCCCCTCCCAGGGGGACGAACAACAGAAAAGTGGGTGACGGGTGACAGGACAATGTAAGATATGAAAATAATAATTTATAACATATCAAGGGCTCATGAGGGAGGGAGGGCCGAGGAGGGGGAAAATGAGGAGCTGATACCAAGGGCTCAAGTAGAAAGAAACTGCTGTGAAAATGATGATGGCAGCATATGTACAAATGGGCTTGACACAATGGATCAATGTATGGGTTGTGATGAGATGTAAGAGCCCCCAATAAAAGTATTTAATAATCATAATAAAAGATCGGGGCTGTCAAGGATTTCATCCTTGCTCACGGAAGCAGCAGTTGAGATCAGACAAGACGCTGCATTCACTGGGTAAATAAATCCGCCGCACAAGGCTTCTTTAAAGCGTTGAAAAGTAAGCATGATCCTCTTGGAGACTAAGGTGCACTTGACCCATGGCCACGGTGTCTTCCATGGCCTCACTCATTTTGTGCAAGTTGGGACACCGCCCGACTGAGGAGGACTGAAGAATGGGTGTTTTTGGATAGTGGTGCTCACAAAGAATATCGAACATACCTCGGACTACCAAAGGAACAAGCAAATACATGTCCTGGAAGGACCGCCACACTTCATCTCACTTTGGACAGGCTGTCAGGAGAGACCAGTGCTGGAGGACATCACGCTTCGTAAAGTGGAGGGGCAGCGAAAAGGAGGAAGGCTCCCAAGGCGATGGCACGACCCAGTGTCTTCAAACATAACAGCCACGGGGAGCGTAGGCTGTAGGGTCGCTGTGAGTCAGAACTGATTCACGGCATCTAACATGCAGGGGCCTGAGGAGGTTCGACTGACCTGAGTCCCTCCCCACTCAGGGGCACCCCAGTGAACTGCTGACCGCCCACTGTTGGGTCCCCAGTGGGGTAGAGATGGTTGGTAGTGCATTTCAGAAAGCAGGCATGGTGGTCTGAGAAGGCTGTTCAGAATCTGACCTGAGCTTCCGTTTCCACATCTGGCACAGCTAGGTGGGAGGCCGCACAAGGGGGATCAGGGGTAAGGTACCTTCCCCTACGCTCAGGGAGAGCCAACGATTCCCCACCCCCACCCCCCTTCATCTCTGACTTCCACAGGCCTTGGGGATAACCCAGCAGCTCTGGGCAGATGCCCGGCCTGCGGGCGCCCCCTCGTGGCCATGGCTGGCTGAGCCGAGTGAGTGTGGGCAGGTGGGGTGAACTCAGCTTTGGGGTCAGAACACAAGGGTGTGGGGGAGTCAAAGGGGCACAAGCAATATGGGCCAAACTGTACTTGCAGGTGGTGACCGGCTGGTGTGTGTGGCCACAGATGTGAGAACTGAGGCCTGGGGGGCCTCCAGCCGAGGGGAGCGGGGGTAGGTAGGGGTCCTGTGAGGGCCAAGATTTCTGGTGTGTGTGGCTGCCCCAGAGGAGAGGGTTTTCCTCCTCGAACTGAGGAGCCATGGCTGAATCTTGAGACCCGGTTGGCGACAGAGGGGTCTGAGACGCATGCACTCGGGCTGGGTGCTGCTGAAACACGCCCAGGTCTGCACCCAGAGCAGAGGCGAACTGGGCAGTTGGGACTGAGGCACCGTCCCTCTCCTGCCCGGGGGACCACGGCCGGAGGTGGAGTCTCTCCCGTGAACGCGTCGATGTTTTAGGACGCCGTATAGGGGCAGGGGTGGCTCCGTGGTGGAGACAACAGGCTCCAGTCTCGACAGCTTCAATTTGCTTCTCAAAATCAAGTGTTCCTTTTAACAGGAAAAAGTTACAGAGCTGCTCCACATGCTCGGGCTACTGCAGCTAACTTGTTGCCAGCTTTCGGACTTGGGCTAGACCCTGACCCGGCTTCCCCTCCACGGCATAACCCCTTGGAAACAGGCTAATCTGCCCCGTGGCTCACCGCTTCACGTCACCCTCCCATCTCTCCAATTCTCTCAATGGCCCAATCTGCACACCGTGCCTGGCAGTTCTTTTAGACACACTTCTTATAAGACTCATGGTCCGGGAGGCTTCGTGTCTGGGGAGCCCGGGCACCGGGGGTTGATGCTGTGTCCTCCCTCCCCATGTCTGTTTCAGATCTATAGCCCCCACAGGAGTAGGATGCCAACCCCAACTAGTGGGCACAGGGCCTCAGGCGAGGCCTCTCTCCACCAGGGCTCTAGCTGAGCTGGAGGCCCATGGTCTCCATGTCTGCCTTCCTACTGAGGGGCTGTACAAGGACCCCAGCTCCGCGCAGGAGCCAGGCCCGTCCCCACACTGGTGCTTCTTCCCCCAGGCTGCCTGCCATGGAGTGTCATTGTACACAGGATCCTGTGCGTTGTGAGGAGGGGCTTGGGGCAGTTTTGTTGCTGACACAAAGGCCAGCCCATGGTGCTTTGGGTTCAAAGGGTAAGCCCCTCCGGAGCCGGCCTTGGGCTGCGGGGAGAACATGGATCAGATGGACCATCTGCCGGGACTGGGCTGGGTGCAGGAAGGGAAAAGGAATAGGACGTGTGCAGGGGAAGACATCGTATGCGGGGAGACCCCGGGACAAAGAGTGGGGGCATAGTGCTGGCGGGCAGGGGACAGGAGATGGGCATTTCAGATGAGAAGGCTCATACACGGCGGGCATTCCAGCCTGCCCCCAGATGACACCGCAGGGCAGTGGGGTCCAGCGAGTGGCCGACACTGCTGGTCCCGGGGATCCATCCCGAGGCGGGCACGGGGTGGCAGAGCTACCCCTATAAGGGGATGCCAGGTGACCCGAGTCTTGCCCACACCCGCCAGCAGTCCATGGAGGGTGCAGAGGTGACTGTGGGGAACCGCGCATCTCCCCCGTTCTGGCCCCATGAGTCGCACGCAGCCTGGCTGGCAGCAGCACCCAGTGAAAGGAATTTAATGGAACCATGACTCGGACAAACACAGTGGGAGGACGAGGCACTGAGATGGCGCGGGTCCTCCCGGGCTCCGTGTGGGGGAAGAGGTTGGGCCAGTCGCCCAGCCCCCGGGGAGAAACACTGACGTGGCGTGGCACAGGCAGCCCCGGAGGGCAGCACAGTCGCAGCACGGGAGGCAGGGAGGGAGGCATGTGGACAGACAGACTGACCACCGGCCTCTGCTCCTACGAGGAAGGTGAGGGAGCGTCGCCCTCACTAAGTGCTGCCAGAGGAACGAGGAGACGTGGGGACAGGACGGTGGCCCCCAGTGCTGGGGCGCGTGGGCATGGCAGCATCGGTTATAATGGAAACAGCCACCGACCACCGAGTGCAAGTTCATGAGCCCACAGCCGCTGTGAACAGCAACAGCAACAGCGCCACGTCCTGGGCCCGAAGGCGTGGCAGGTGGCGTGGGCAGCCAATATCCGGCCAGTGTGTCCCCATCTTCTTGTTGCCAGGGAGCTGCACAGCAGAACAGCGGCACCGCCCAGAGGGCGGAGACAGGACGTCCCCAGAGAAGACGGCATTCCCCAGCCGACAGGCTGGAGGTGGCAAGGGTGCTGGGGGGCTGGGAGGGTGCCGGGTCCAGACGTCTGGCTGGCGGCTCTGCTCCAGCTGCTTGGCAGGGGCCTCACTGTGTCCGGAGCTGGTAGTCTAGACGAGGTGGAGGGCAAGGGTCAGCCTCCGTCCACCCAGGGACCCGCCCACCCCACCTAGCCACGGGCTGGCGCTGTCCTCACCCCCATTCTGGGTGATGTATCGGACCCAGGGCAGGGCCTGGTAGCCGCTCTTCTCGATGATCTTCAGGTAGCGCACCTGGGGACACAGGCCGGCCTGAGCACGTGAGCCCCAGCCCCAGCCTCCCACCCTGGAGACGTCCTCCCAGATGAGGCTGGGGGCAGACAAGGGCAGGAAGGGGAGAGGATCCACCCAGAAGGCAAACCTGGGATACCGCTCACAGCCACACCCCTCAGCAACTCCCACCCCCACATCAGGCCAGGGACCCTGATGACCCCGGCTCTGGCTCGTGCTGGGTCTGAGAGAACGCTGAGGTGGGGCTGCACGTGGCCAGGGAGGGGGTCCCGGCACCCCAGGACCAGAGGGTAGAGCCTGGTGAGTGGGTCTTGACCGGCCCCATGCAACCCTGGCCCCAGCCGCACACCTGGATGCCGGAGGTGGTGAAGTAGGGGATCTCGAACTTGACACTGATGGGGGGCTTGCCCTCCTTGTCCTCTGCCTCCACACTGGGCAGGCCAAAGTGCGCCCGCATCAGGTACTCCTTGCCACCCTGGGGAGCAGGCAGAGAACCGTCAGCCTGTGGAGAATACCGTGGGTGCCAGGCCCAGGCTTACTGCGCCACCAAGCCCGGCCATTGAGCCCTTCGTGTGTGGGTGGTAGCCCCTCAGCTCCAAGACAGCATCTTCCAGCACCCCAAGCTCCCCGTTCTCAGTACCCCGGGGCCTCCACGTGCCCCTCCAGGGCATGTCCTTCCACACGCCGCAGCTCTCAAGTCCCAAGCCGCTTCCCTGACCTGTTCCACTTCTGAACTCCCAACCCAGAGGGATGTCCCCAATACAGCCCCTACCTCTGCGCCCCAAGACTGGTGGTTCACCCTGTCTCCATGGGCCCCAGCTGGGTACGTGCCCGGAAGAACACTTAGAAACTTTCTAATGCTCCAAGGAGCAGAGGTCAGGCTCATTAGCTCCCTGGTGGCTGCCCCAGGGAACAGGACAGGCTGGCCTTGAGCACAGGACGAAGGGAGGTGTTGCCCAGGACAGAGTCTGAGTGGTCACCCCTGCTGCCAGCCTCAGGACAGCTGAGAGCAAAGGAGAAGTGCTCATCTGGTCAGTACTGAAAGAGCTCCAGGCAACTGAGAAACAGACACAACCAGACAGGAACACAGGCCAGAGACACTCAGAGACCTCCTGTCTGCACACGCCACTCAACCTTGCTCCTGTTGTGACAACGGCAAACTGCAGGTGTGACCACCCCTCTACCAGTGACACTGGAGAGGTGACAACAGTCTCCTAACAGGCTCAGCTCTGTGTGATCCCACTCTTGACACCTTCTCTGAGCCACACCTCTATGGACAGCAAGTGAGACAGGCCCAGGGACATCAGCAGAGCATTCTCTCTAAAGCCAGGCGTCATCAACAAGAGAGCACCCTTCCTGGGGAACCACAGAGCAGACACCAGGCGGCTGCAAACAGGTGTTCTCCTACCCACGGACTGGTCTCCTCTACAACGGGGTAAAGAGGAAAGCACAGGAGGGTGGGTAAGACCCCACCTGGAGGTGGGAAGCGGTAATACACGCACTCCTACAGGCATCCTTTTATCACGGAAACAGAACGAAGACTGTGGCCATCAAGGAGTTCATCTCCCTTGGATTCGCAACCAATGCTCGGAATCAACCGAGGAATTCCACGGGCAGATTCGCTGCTCAGGCTGCCACTCCCTACTGCTCTCTGAAGGATCGCACTAGGAGGTCCTGGATAAAGTGGGACACGTGGGGCTGCTACTACAGGGTCAGCAGTTCAAAACCACCAGCTGCTCTGAAGAAGAAAGATGGAGTTTCTACTCCCCTAAAGAGTGACAGTCTTGGAAACTCCCGGGGGCAGTTCTACCTGCCCTATAGGGTCACTAGGAGTCGGCACTGACTTGACGGCAGTGAATGTGGATGCAGGGAGAGAAAGCACGGCACAGAACTCCCGAGACCAGACTTACTGGTGGGGGAGGAGAGGGGGAGGAGGCGAGGAAGAGGAGAACAACGGAAACTGCTATCCCTGGGAGGAAGTGGGACCAGCACTGCTACGTTGTGGGGTAGAAATGGATGAGCTGAAACAAAATGTGTATCAACTGCCAAACTCCCCGATGGCCTGCTCTTTACCTTGCACCTAATTCACAACACAGGACAACGACACAACAGGACCTCCGGCACACACCATCCAGCCTCCCGTGCGGTTTGTATCAGGGACTCTTCTCCCGGCATGCTAACAAAGCAGACGGCCCACCCCTGCTGCTGCTGCCCACCGCCCTCCGCGGCACACGAGGTCACCACTGCTGCCGACTGCCAAGAAGCCAGCAACTTGGAAACGCGAGGAAGGAACACGAAGTTGGCTCGGGCCGTTCACAAGGGGAGCAACGTGACACACGATGGCGAGGAGGAGGAAGGGCCCACGGGACACGTGGTGCTGCACGCCCGGGGAAGGGGTGGATTTTTCTGTTGCGATTTTCTACCACAGTTTTTCACATTTTCCTCAAAAACAGCTCCAACTATGGCTGCTGGGTTGAGCCGGCTCAGAGCAGCCCTGCAGGCTTCCAAAGCTGTCATGTCTACAGAGGCAGCTGCCACCACCTTTGCCCCTGGGAGTGGCCGGAGGCTTCAAGCGCGGCCTCGCCTCGCTGTGGAGCGCTGAGCAGGCAGGAGGAGCACGGCACTGTACTGAGGGGAAGTCGGAGCGTGAGGACAACCTGGCGCTGGAGCACTGCAGCTCCAGTGGGGACTGTCCTCAGCTTTCCCCAGAGATTCAGAGAGGGAAGGAAGGGGGCAGGGGCAGGGCTCTGGGCACCTGCCCGCAGCCCTCAGAACCCCACAGGTGCCTCGGTAGCAGCCCGGCCAAAGGAGACAGGCACAGGGGATGAGGCTCCTTCCCTGAGGAGGTACTCACTCCAGAACCCAAACTCGCTCCACGGCAGTGGAGTCTCAGCCTATCCCAGGAAGGCCCTGGATGATGGGAAACCGGTCACCCCGGCTCCCCAGGTGACACCCACACACCTGCCAAGGATTGAACTGTCCCCCAAATACGTGCTGTAACCCTAACTTCTACCTGTGGTTGCCATCTGTTGGGCATGGCTGTCTCTAAAGGAGACAGGGTTAGAGGAGAGAGAGTAACGAGAGCAGAGGAGAGTGGGGGAGATACAGGACAAGGCGCTCAGCCAGGAGCAGATGGTGAAAGAAACAAACTGCCCAGGGGCACCGGGCTTCCATCAGGGGCCACGGCGACGTGGCCACTCCCAGCCGTCCTCTGCCCTCCCCGTGTATGGGGCCTCACCGGGAAGGACTTGATGGACCACACGATCTCGCTGTTCTCGGGAACCCACTTGACGCTGCCCACGGTGGTCTTGAACTTGGGCGAGTCGGCATCGTTGGGCACGGGGATGTGGATCTCCACGTTGTTGGCTGTGGAGCGCCGCTTGAATTGGCTCTTGGCCTAAGAGGGGACATGGCTTCTGAGGCTCCCTCACGACTGCCCTGTGCCCTGGACTGGAGGCCGCTCTCCCAGGACAGGCAGCGGCCCCTGCAGTGGAAGTTCGGCCTGAGGGCTGCACCTCAGGAAGCGATGACGCTTTGCCTACCTTCCTGGGTAGAGGGGCGGGGCGGGTCCCGGGCGGGTCCCACCCAGTTGGAGTACCTCCCTTTGCTCTAGGCCCCTCCCATGTCACAGCTCTCTAGCAGGACGGTAGGTAGAGCCCTGAGCATGAAGCCTTGGGGAGGAGGGGTGGGGTCCCGTCCCAGCGGGGTGCAGCGGGGTCTCCCAGGCAGCTGCGCACTCACCTTGATCATGTACTCGATGCGGCTGTGCGAGTGCTTCTCGATGACAGACTCAATCCAGATCAAGGGCTTCACCTGTCGGGAAAGGAGGCTGGGCTCAGTGAGGCAGCGTCAGCACAGGGACACAGGGCGCCAAGGCGACAGTGGGTGCAAGGGAGGGTGCCAAGGGCGCTGGAGCCTCCCTTGGGTCCTAGGCCTGGCTGCTCCCCAGGCCAGGGGCGGCCCTGAGGGCTCTGGGAGGGGCCGACTCACGTGGGTGTTGAGGCGGTAGGACATGAGCTCAAACTCGCCGTCAGGAGGGATGAAGGAGATGGTGCGGTCGTTCTCGAAGCGCGAGAGCCGCACACACTGGTGGAACTTCACGTCCTCCAGCTCCACCGACTTGCTCTTGCCGCCTGCGGGGTGTGGGGTGCACTGAGGGCAGCCCACACACGGCAGGTCTGGGCTTCTGGGGGCTCTCAGCAAGGCTCCCACCCTCAGGACCCCCTCAGGGCTCCCAGGCTTTGGATCCGCTGGCTTGGGCACGGCTCAAGCTCACTCATGGGTAACTGAGGAGCCAGCAACAGTGTGTGGGGCTGGCCAGGGTCCCTCAGGCCTGGCCCTGTCCACATCCCCTCCAGGAACCAAGGGTGGTAGACTTCAGGCCACACTGGAATGTGGGCACGCCCTAGGAGAGGGGGCTGCAGCTCGTGTGAACACTAAGGGGGTGGGGAGCATTCACACATTGGCAATTGGGCAGGAACAGGCCTGTGGCTCTGTTCACCCTGCAGAGCATGCTGGGACCACTCTGGGGACAGTGGGAGGGAGGGTTGTTAAGACTTGGCTGGTGTCACCAAGGTTTCCATGCTTCTGTGTGGCCCACATGCAGACACTGGCTTTTGCCACCACCACGCCACCACAGGACAGAGAGGTGCTTCACGGCCGCTCAGGACGACTGCCGGGTGCGCCCAGGGCCCGGTACTCACGGCCCGTGTTGTCGAAGAGCACCTTGTCGTTGAGGCCCAGGCGCAGCTCGGGCATGCCCGACAGGAAGACCCGCATCTTGATGGAGCCCACGATCTCGCTGCGCAGCACATTCCCGTTGGCGCTGACCTGGGGGTGGGGGGGTGCGCGGGCCGAGTGAGGTGAGGCCGTGTCCACGTCACCTGCCATAGCCCTCTACTCACCACCCTCACAGCAGGACCTCTGGGAAGCCCACCTTCTCCCCTCCAGTCCACCCTGTGCCCCTTTAGCTGGGGTGCCTTGTTAGTCCCCACCCTGGGACCAGGGCCCTGCCTGAGCCACTTAGCTCCCACCTCATCTCTCAGGTGCTCTCACCGCTGGTGCCAGGCAGAAGCTCAGCTCCAGCTGCACTGGCTCCTGGGCAGGCCAGGCTGGCTTCTCAAATCTCTCTCTGCCTGGGCTGGGAGAGCCTTCCTGGGCCAGATCCCTTCCTGCTCCCCAGGCCCTGGGGAGGGTGACAGCCACCACTGACGCACAAGGGAAGGAACGCAGCAGGGGCCCCACCATGACCGCTGACAGGAGGGCCCCGCCTCCACACCACTGTGCACAAGCCCTGCCACGCTCACCTCAGGGTGGGGACACTGAGCCCACCTAGGTCTGCCCTCTGGACCCCACATGGCCCCACCGTCCTTGGTCCCCCCCTCCTCCTCCTCCTCCTCCTCCTCCTCTCTCTGCAGCCTGGCCTACTGCACTGGGCCCAGGTGGTGCCTGCATGGGCGGGAGCCCAATCCTGGCCTGGACCTGGGGGCCAGTGGGGTGCTCAGCCCCATGTGCATCCTGCTGGGAGTGCCTCCCCTCCCTGGGCCATCTCAGAGCCAGGCGGGTCAGATTTGGGTTCACCATGCAATCCAGAGTCCCCGGGCTGTTCCACCTCACAGCTCACATCTAGCCCCAGGGAGGCAGCCACTGGAAAGCACCAGAATCAGAAGCTGACGCCAGAAACTGGAGACACTCCACACACATTAGGGACACCTAGACGCGCCGCTCCAGGGTCCCAGGCCCAACAGAGCCACCCCAGTTTCTGCGACAACTGTAACACGGCTGTTGGTGTCCAGGGCGACCGCAGAGGCCCACCTTGGTTCCAGGGATGATCACTAAACGGGAGCCCCTAGAGACCCACTGTGGTCTCTGCGACGATCATCAAGCAGCATTTTGGTGTCTGGGGAGGCCACGCAGGCTCAACCGGGGTTGGGGAGACCATACTGCATGAGCTCTGCCCCTCAAGTGGCAGGGCACCTTGGACCCAGCCTGCAGTACGGAGGGGGAGGCTGGGTCCTGACACCCAAAGGCAGTGAGTGCCCAGTCTCCTGTCTTCTTCCTCTCTCAGCCCTAGGCCTGGCCCCGAGCCTCAGGCCCCAGCTCTGAGTCGGGGGTGGGGGGAGTGCGGGGAACCAACCCCGCTGCTCTTTTCTCTTTCTGTCCTCCTCCATCTGCGCTAGGACGGGGGCTTCACCCCAGAGGAGGAGGAGCTCGCAAAAACTGAGCCCGACCCCAGAGCTCAAGAATTGGCCCACGCAGCCCACGGAGGGCGGGTCAGGATGTGCAGGTCAGCCCAGGGAAAAGGTCAACACGCTACCGGGAATCTTGAAGCAGAACATTCAGAAAGCCAGGATGAGAGCCCCAAGTCACTTGGAGTATGAAGACCCATGGGAAAATGCAAACAAGAGGTGACAGAGTACACACACACAACACACAACAGACTCCAGCTGGCTCCTCCTAACTCAACCCCCGTCCCCCCCGCCTGGCAACAACAGTGACAGTCGCTCATCTGGGCAAAGATAGGGAAGATGGGCAGAAGGCGCGGGCAGAATTTCCGAATGGAAGAGTACAAGAACGGAAACGGAAAACCCCATAGGACAGGCTCACAGCAGGGTGGAAATGACACAGGAGAGGGCCCGTGGGTCTGGAGACACAAACCAGCGATCCAAGCTGAGCAAGTGGGGCCGTCGGGAAGCTGTGGGCAGAAGGACAGAACGAGGACAAGGCTGAGCAAACCCAGCCACACAGCGCCTCTCACCCATTCGAGCAACCCAGCCACATCCAAGTCCGAGGGCACCCTCCTCCTTTCAGGCTGGAGCTGCGACGCCCTCCTACTGTCAGGCTGCATCTCCAGCTGCCGTCCACGCCTCTGGATTTAAAGCGTCACTCTGAACTTGTCAAAGTTGGGCTAGACTATCTTGGGCAGGTAAAACCAAGCACTCCCTGCCATCGCATTGATGCCGACTCATCAGAACTGCCCCTGTGGGTTTCCCAGAATGTCTTTCTCTTTGGGGAATGTGTGTGTGTATATGTACGCGTGTGTGGGGTGTCTTTTTAAATTCAAAGGTGGTCAGTGGCTGTTTGGAATCTACAGCCTTGCAGCACACCCAGCACCGACTTGAAAGCATGTGTCCACAGGCCAAGACCGGTCTGCTGGCTCCATAACAAGTCTGTCGTACGTAGTCTCATGACCGCCTGCTTCACTGCCATCCAAGTCACTTTCCACGCATACCAACCCTACCGGATGGCAGAACCTGCTCCTGGGGGTTTCTGAGACTGCAAGCCATGACTGGAGCTGGCAGTCTCAGAACTGCTGACCTTGCTGCTGGTAGCCCAGTGCTTAACCCACAGCACAACCAGAGTCCATTTTCTCATTGAGGTGCATTCATAAGAAAAAGTTCAAGCACAAGTGGCTGCCGAGGGGGTCTGCCGGTCAGTCAGAGTCAAGGCAGCGAGGTCAGCTCGGAAGGTTTCTACAACTCTCAAGGCTGCAAGGTGGGCGGTGAGGCTTCCCGGGGAAATTTTCACTGGCCACCTCCGGGCCCGGGCAGCACACTGCCTGGTGGAGAAGGCTCCCAGTTTTCTGCACCTTTCTCTCTCTCCCCACGGCCGTTTCAGCTTCCTTAAAAGTCCTCTGCATAAGCCCCGTGATCACCCATGGACATCGCGCTACCGCCTTCAGAGGTGCCCGTTTTGGGAAGGGTGCACATGGGCAGACTCCAGAATCTGAACGAGCACGAGCTCAAACACCGCCCAGTCTAACTGCTGAAAGACAAGGAAACAGTATCTTAGAGGCAGGCCCAAGAAGGAGCATACGGCCTACAGGTGAACAGTGACTCAGCTAAGGGTGGCTTCTCATCAAAACCCAGACACTGGAAGGACACGGCTGCACACTTCTAAAGGGCTGAAATGCAAGTGCCAACCGGAGCTGCACACGCAGAGGAGGGTCTCAGGAAGGAGGGGAGAATGGAGCGAGCAGAGGCGGGCATTCTTCTGCTCCTCTGAGGCTCTAAGCAACCGAAAGCAAAAACACTACAACACGGTAGAAATTCTAACAAAAGGTCTGATGAGGACTTTAAGGCGTGTAGATGTAAACACAGAAGAACTTCAAAACAAAGGAGTAGCAAGGTTTCTACATTCCAATGGAGTGGCAAAATGCTGATTCTACATAGACCGGAAAAAAAAGATGTACTTTATAATCCTTTAAACAACGACTAAAAAGCTGTTTTTAGTAAGTATAAGTCCAGTCACACTTAGAACAAATGCATTAAAATGTAATACTAAAAAAATAAAAAATAAAGTAATCCCGAAAAAGATGGACACAAGAAAGCGAGAATGATACAGGAAGCCTTCATCAAAATGTACATCAAGATTACATTAAGTGTAAGTGGTTTAATGGCTTAAACACACTGGTTGAAAGACCAGATTTTCTGAATGGGCTATAAGAGAGATGGTCCAGTTGTATGCCCATTTCAAATATATGGGTGCAGCTAAATTAAAATAAAAGAAAAGAGAGAAAAACAGGATGGGGAGATCTATGCTATACAAACACTAATCAAAACAAAGCTAGAATGGCAACATTAATCTCAAAGTACACTCCAGAGAAAAGAACATTACTAGATATAAAAAGACATTATCACATAATGATAAAAAGTGTCAGTTGACCAAGGACATACAACAATTCTAAGTTTCCTGTGACTAATAACAAAGCTTCGAAATTTAAGAAGCAGATACGAGATTTAAGAAGTGTGGGAAATTATAACTGGAGGTTTCTACACTCCAATCTCAGTAAGGATGAACCAGTCAGCAGAAAATTAGAAGATTATATAAGAATTGAGTATTACCGACCCACTGCATTTAAGATATTCTGAAATGAACAAAATGAAAACACCAATTGTGAGACGCAGCCAAAGCAGCTCGTAGATGTTGATGTCAGAAAAGAACGGAGGCTCACTCTCCAATTTGTCCTTCAATCTTCAGCTTCTGCCTAAAGAAACCAGGAAAAGCCCAACTACCGTAAGGGATACTCAGCAGACGCACAGAAGCTGACCATCAATTTAGGAAGAATTAAGAACTTTACTACGGTGCAGCCTTCCAGTCCATGCGCATGAAACACACATTTCACACAAGACTGGTCAAAATACCAGCAGGTACTGCAAGCTGATCTGAAAACATGTACAGAAAAGCAAACGAGTTGGAGGAGCTGAAACAATTCTGAAAGAAAGATAAAGTTGGAGGAATCATCCCATTTTTAAATTGACTGTATAGTTACAGTTGTCAAGACGGTGTGGGGTTGACCAAGGGTTAGATATCCACATCAATGGGGCAGAACAGAGTCTAGAAATGGCACAGTCTTTTCAACAAACAATGCCGGAATAACTGGACATTTACATGAAAAACCCCACATTTTATTTTGGATCACTGACCTACGTGTGGAGTGCAGGAGAAATCGAAATGAGCTCTTACGGACATGGCACCAAAAGCACCAGTGACAGAGGCTTTCTGGACTAGGTCCAACTGGAGACGTTTGCTCTGTGAGAGCCACAGCTGAGGGGGAAAAGGTAAGAGAAAAGAGGCGCTACAGACTAGGATCGAATATTTCCAAATCACATTATTTGACAAAGAACTTATAGCCAAAGTATATAAAACAATGTTCAAAACAATGAGAAAATCAACCACCCAACTTGAAAATGCTCAGCAGTCATGGAGTAAACACTTCCCCCAAGGGGACACAAGGACGGCGAATTCACACATGACAAGACGCTGCGCGCCACTGACCATTAGGAAGCGGCCAGGCAACACCACGAGACGCCTACTAAAATGAGGAGAAAGAAGAACACAGACAATACCAAGTGCTGGCGAGGATGCACGGCAACCCAAACCCTCCTCCACTCCTGGTGGGAATGCGAACAGGTACAGCCACTCGGAAAGGGTTTGGCAGTTTCTGATAAAGTTAAACATACACTTACCGTATGACCCAGCAATCCCACTCCTGGGTATTTACCCTAGAGAAACGAAAACTTATGTCCACACAAAAACCTGGACACAAAATGCTTATAGCAACTTTACTCATCATTGCCAAAAACAAAACCAAAAAACTGGAAAGACCCCAGACGTCGTTCAATGGGTGAATGGATTACACCAACTGTGGAACATCCAGACCACGAGATACAAAATAAATAAAAAATGGAACAAAGACAGAACAACTTGCATGAATCTCAAAGGCATTATGCGGAGGGGAAGCAGCCAGGCTCACAAAGTTACATGCGGTGTGATTCCAGGACCAAACAGTCTCAAGACGACAGAACTGGGCTGAGTGCCTGCGGGGTCTGCCAGGGGTGGAGGATATGACCACAAGGGGGCAGCACAGGGCATGGGTGGGGGGGCGGGGAATGAAGCTCTTCAGTGTCCCGAGTATGGGGGTGGGTGCACACGTACTAGAATTTACAGAAGGGGAAAAAGTCACTTTTGTTCAATGACAGCGTGAGCAATAAAATTAAAGGAAGAAGCCAGAGACACAAACAGCAACAGGCACACCGAACCCAGAAAGCCAGTTGTTTTTCAATAGCAAAACCACCCACATTTATATATCATCTATAAACCACGGGCTGAAAAAAGGACCTTAAATCCTTACATCAGGTGGCTCTTCTGATTATGGGAGTCCTACATATTGTTGGTTTTTATTTTTAAATCTTGTGTGTGTGTGTGTGTGTGTGCTCTAACTTGAAACAAAAGTTGCTGTCAACTGTGAGCTGCCATTGCATGGATTTGAGTCTGACTCAAGGTGACAACCATGTTTACAGAGTAGAACTGAGCTCCACAGTTTTCTTGGCTGTGATCTTAATGGAAGTAGATCGCCAGGCCTTTCTTCCGTGGTGCGGTGTGTGTGTGTGTGTGTGTGTGTGTCTCTCTCTCTCAAACTGCCAACCTTTAGGCTAGCAGTGAAGTGCCAACTGTGAGCACTACCCAGGGCCAAAAGTGAGCAGCCTGAACAACGGAGTTTTGTCCGCTGACACCTTCCTGAACCCAAGCGGGTCCTGGGCCCCTGCTACTTTGAACAGTCTGCCTGCTTTTGCCCCAGGCGTGGAGGAGGCAGAGGAAGACAGTCAGTAAGTAAGAAGCCTACCAGGAGGTTCACTGACTCAATGACGTCCAGAAACACCTCGTTCTTCCGGTACTTGATGCCCTCAGACCGCCAGGAGACTGCGTTGGTGACAGTGGCGGGGGGCCGCGGGGCCCCCGTCTCCAACTTGTGGCCCTCCTGAGTGATGTACCTTTGGGACAAGCTCAGCGTTATGGAGGTCCCACCACACAAGCACCCCCACCTTGGCACTAGCTTTTGGGGTGGGGGGCGGAGTGGGACGGGGCATCTTGACGAGGCTGACAACAGTACCCCTGTCTGTATCAGGGGCCAGAAGCCCGGCCCAGGCTTCAGTGGGCCGCTTGTAAAGGAATGAGCTTGTTCTGGGGCAGCGGGTTGGTGCCGACGCTTGGGGACATTTTAGAGATGGCTAGTGATAATGGCATGGCACACCTGAGGTCACTAAGGTCCTCGAGTTGTAAACACGGGACTGGCTGAATCAGTGAATGTTCCAGTGTACATTTTCATCTCACGACAAAAAAAGAGAGGGTGGCTGTCTTATCATTTCAACTCTCTCTCTCTCTCTCTCTCTCTCTCTCTCTCTCTCTCTCGCTCGCTCGCTTGCTCGCTCTGTGGGACCCAGAGAGGGAATGCTGGGCTGGAAACAAAAGCAGGCTGCTCGCCCCCTAGCCTGGTGTGTGTCTGACCCTCCAGGAGCGTGACCTGGTGACCTGCCCTCCCACATGGCTGGTCGGGGGCTCCCTGGAGGTTGCGACCTGCGGCAGGAAGGCACTCCTGAAGAGCAGGACTTCAGGGAAGGAAACAGCTTACCACAGCCCCACTGGTAAGGCTGATGATCAGAGCCAAGGACGGAGGCGCTCAGTATGCCCGTGTGCCCACCCCTGCCCGAGGTCCCCAAAGCTGTGCCAGGCACTGCCCCTGGCCCACTCACTCCTGCAGGATCTTGCTGTCGGTGGTCTGCGGGAAGCCGAAGTCCATGAGCTCGTCCAGCAGCTCGTAGATGATGACGAAGTTGTCCCGGATGCTCTCCTCCTCCAGCTCCTTGAAGTACTCTGAGAACACCTGGGCAGGTGCAGGGCAGCCGGGAGTGGGAAGTGGGGAGTGGTGAATGAATGCTCACACAAACTCACCTGCCCCTCAGGCCCTTCCCACCCAAGCTGCCTCTGCCCATCCCCAGGCAGGAACCCACTCCCACTGCCCCCTTGGTCTGAGTCAGAGGTGACACAGGTGGGGCAGGAAGAGATTCTCCTGGCTTGGCCAGCCCCAGCTACCTGTCTGGAGCAGTGTGGCAGGGCGGGCACACCCTGCCCAGTTCAAGGGCTAGTTCAGAGCGTTCCAGAATGAACACAGGAGGGGTGCTCAGCAGCAACTCCATCTGTCACTAGAATGGGAGAGGGCACCCGGGCGGAAGGAACACTTCCTAATCAAGGGGCATAAAGCCCCTGCTCCCAGGTCTTGCCTCTGGGGCCACCCCTGGTGACTGGCTTCACAACAGGCAGCAGTGTCGCTGTCCCCATCTCCCTGAGATGACAGGCAGGACAAGGCCCCGCTCTGCAGCCACGAGGGGGCTTTCCCTGGTAGGCTTGTTGCTCTCCTTCCCCCCTTCCCTAACCCTCCGTGCTCCCCCATGTGGCTCCCAGACTGGCTTCGGGGACCACCAACTGAGGGTGGGGAGCCCAACACAGCCCCACCACAGCCGACCCTCATGGTGGCTGCCTTCCTGGCTGCCCTGCTGCCTCCTAGTTCTGTCTTCCCTCTGCACCAGAGGCCACTTAACTATGGCAGGCCAAGCTCCCCAAAGCCCTGCAACCGTTCCTCCTCACGGGCCCTGCACACCTCACGCCCACCCACATGGCCCAATGTGGAGCTCTGCACGAGTTCCCTGTCCCGGGTCCTGACAATACCTGGGCACCCTGCCCCTCCACTATCTCACCATGTCAGGCACAGGATGGGCTGGGCGATAAACATCCCTTCTGGGTTAATTTCTAGGAAGGGCCCACTAGGTGGGGGTCAGTCAGACCCACCTTGCCTGGGCCCCTTCCCCCTGCCCAGGCTGAAGAACTGAGGGGTGGCCCTGCCCCATGATGGCTCACCTGCACCACCTTGTAGAGGAAGGAGAAGACGAGGGAGACGCACGCATTCTTCTTGGAGGTCGCCACCACTGTGAGCCGCCAGTTAAGGAGCTTCCAGCAGCCAATCCAGGCCTCTGCTTGGGAATGGCCAGTCCCCCCTCCCACGTCCCCTCAGGCCATCAGCGAGCTGGCACCTGACTCAGGGTGACTGCACACAGCCCAGAACGAAACGTGGCCTGGTCTTGCTCCAGCCCCCACTGACTGGCCAGGAACTGTCCTAGGACTCTCATGGCAGATGAGAATGCTCCCCCTGAAGGACCCCTAAGGGTGCCGAGCACCTAGCACACACCTTGCCTGCCTCCCACCAGGAGGCGCTCAGCTGACACAGGGCAGCCTAGATGGTGACGAGAGCTAAGTGCTGCCGCTCACCTAGGAGGATGGGGGCCGGGCAGAGGGAACCACCATGGGGGCACCATCCAGGGGCAGGCGTGGGGGGAGGCCAGGGTCACCCAGCCTTCTCTTCTCAGGCCACGTGCCGCTGTGGCCAGGTACCCGGCCGGCTCGAGCATTCCCCTGTAAACCCTGCTCACAGACAGGCTGCGGAAGGCCCGGAGCAGTCCTGCCCACTGCCCCCTGGGTGAGCACTTCCTGTTCCTCCTGTCCCTGGCTTCTCCCCTGGGATGCACGCTGCCCAGACTTCCCTGCCCTGCTTTGGGCTCTGGGGCTGACCCCAGCCCCACCAGATCACATGCCTTGAAGGTGGAAGAAAGGGCCCAGCCAAGTGAGAGGGCAAAGGGCAGGGTCACCCCCTCCAGCTCCAAGGGGACACCAGCTTGACAATTTCGGCCACCTAACGGTGCCCACTGGAGAATGCCACTCCTTTCACCGGCACACGGTGTGTAGGCTGGGAGGGAAAGGACCAGAAAGAGCCCTGGCTGGAACCCACATGGGGGCCCTGGGGTCCACCTGAGAACACTGAGCTTGGAACTCAACTGCACCACCCGCTCTGTCCCCATCATCCCAGAGCCAGAGCAGCTTTGGGGAGGCCCGTCTCCTCACCCGTGCTCAGTGCACACCCCCAGGCTCTGCAACACAGACTGGCAGGGCAGGTCCACCTGGCCCGAGACTCATTTCTAACCATGCCCTGGGGTGCCGTGGCCACACTGCAGAGAACAGAACAGCCAGCCAGGCCCGTCTGCTGGCAGTCCCAGCCACCAGCCCCACTGACACTAAGGGCCGTGGAGGAGGGTCTGCCAGGAGAGGGAGGGGCTGAGCTGCGAGACCAGCTCCCCCATACCAAATGTGGGTCTCTGCCGTGCAGACACACACCCGCTCGCTCCCTGCCATCAAAGGCTACAGTAGAGGTTGTTGTGTTTGATCCACATGAAGCGGACGCCGCCATGGGCCAGGATGGGTGACAGCATGCCCTCCTCCTCTTTCTCCATCAGGATGGGCATGAAGTGCTCCACCTCCGACATGTCCACGTCCCCGCGGTAGTTCCGGCAGATGAGCACCTGTGGCGGGAAGAGAGAGAGGT